ACGCATCGGTTTCGTGATCCACATTAGCCGTCGCCTCGTCTAACACGAGGATCCGATTGCCGCGCAGTATAGCCCGCGCCAGACATATGAGCTGTCGCTGACCCGCAGACAGATTGCCGCCGCCTTCTGTCAACTGGTAGTCGAGTTGCGCCGGCATATCGAGCACCGCCTGTCGCAGCTGTACCTCTTCGAGCGCCGCCCACAGCCGGTCCTCCCGGTGCTCATCAAACGGGTCTAAGTTCTTGCGCAGAGAACCGATGAAAGCGATCGGATCCTGAGGTATGATTGACATACGGCGGCGCAGATCGTGAAGACCTACCGACTTGTAGTCCACGCCGTCGATGAGTATCTGGCCGTCGATGTCGTGCATACGGAACAGTGCGGCCAGTATTGAGCTCTTGCCGGCACCCGTGCGGCCAACGATTCCCACTTTCTCTCCCCCTTTGAACACACAGTTGAGGCCATGGAGTGTGGGTTTGGATTGGTTTTCATATGTGAGGCACACGTCGACCAGTTGTATGCGTCCGGTTTGCGGCCATTCGGGTGCCGGACGTACGGCGCTCTCCAACTCGGGCTCCGACTCGAGTCCACTGTATTCGACGATACGCTCGACTGATGTCATCTGATTCTCGAGTTCGGCCGACTGTCTGACCCCCCACTGAGTCATTCCAGTCAACCCCAGAGCCATCGTTAACGCCAGACCAGCGCTTCCGCTCTCCAGATCTGTACCCGAAGACAGTGTCAGACATTAGTTGACATTAATTACGATTTGATTGATAACAAGCGATACCCTTATGGAAGACCATCAGAAAGAGCGCCACAAAGAAGACATACGACACACAAATCCAATCCATTGTCACACCTGTAAGGGAGAGCACCGGTTGTTAGCATTGGATCAGTTGTATTGGACACGACCTAAACATCTGGAGGCGGAGATACACATGAAGTAAGCGGACGTGTGATCGTTCTGATAGACATAGTATTGCTGTCGAAACACTTCCTGCGCTTTGAAGGCACGGATTGTCGACAAACCACTCAAAGTTGTGGTCATGTGATTGTATAGCGGACTCCGGGCTATAGTATGCGTGAAAGTGAGTGACAGTAATAGTGGTAATAGAGATCTAATTGAATACCCATTCCTTCGTAGCGTTTAAAGTCTCGTCCGGTCTTCAGATAAACCCATCGAATGATCCAAATTAAGGCCAATAAGAAAATGGCGGGTATTATGAGATACGGGTTGACTAACGCCACCACTACTACCGATCCAATTATCTGAGTGAAGATCTGTTCCCACAAAACAAATGGCAAGTCTTATTGACACGAATTTGTGGTTTACTGAAGACATTGTTTGCATTACTAGATTGAGATCATAGGAAACTGCGGGCAACTGTTCGTCGACAACACCGATGTCTTTAGTGAATCGATTCAGTATTCGGCCTGAAATGAGAGACACATATATCAGATATAATCACCCTTTGGATCAAATGGTGACCACTATTTGCGATGGCGTTATTACCCACTGGATTGTTGTCGAAGAAGGCTATAGGCGTTCGCATGAGTCGGAAGAATATGCTGTTATGGAGATTGACTGACGCCTGGATACACATCACAAACCAAGTGCCCGACCGCACCAGTAGTGTCACAAATATGGTAGCGATTAGTATCGAGTATACCATCACGTTATGGCTCTCATCCCGTTCTCCATCACCGCCGGCCGTCTTGTTCTTCACTGCGTCCTCTCTATTGGCCCTGAAGTCAGTGTCAGTGCGGGTGAGAAAGAGAGAGAGAGAGAGAGAGAGAGAGAGAGAGAGAGAGAGAAGTAATAATCATTTTGCTATTAAAAGACAATTGAATTAATGTTGAATACCATTCCGATAGCCAGACATCGCTGTAGTGTTGGAGTCCTTGCGATACGAGCGTTGAGGCGAGACTGAAAGTCAGGAGCACAGGTCCGGCACCGGCTTTGATGTAATCCCAATACACGCGAGCATTGATACCACCCATGGCTTTGGTTTCTTCGTCAACCTTTTGGTCAGTGAACTCTTCGGCCATCTATTATAAGCGACAATATATGCCATAAATGTCTAAAACCCAATTATCTCATAGTTTACCTCCGAGTGGGCGGACATAACACTTATGGTACGAGTCCTGAACTGTTCTGCGATCGGACTCTTAACCATCACTTCTTCGTTAACCACATTTTGTTCAATACTCTTCTCTTCTTTGATTAAAGACATGAAATCAATGCCCGAATCCATGAGTTGACGGTAAGAGCCGACGGCCACGGGTTGTCCCTCTTTCATGACTAGTATTTTCGATGCCTTCCGTATGAACTGTATTTGATGTGTCACTAAAATCACAGTCTTTTGCCGCAAATACTCTGAAATACATCTGTATTTCAATTGCAAAAATTTCATTCAATTTATTCATTGAATTAACAATTATTTGTGATTTACTTTTCAAAGATATGATTCGCGACTTCACTGTCGACTGCACTCAACGGGTCGTCCAATAAGTAGACGTCGGCGTCATTATAGAGGGCACTGAAGAGGAGACAAACAACTGAGTTATGGTCGAGACATAGCAGTGATGGCGGCCCCACACCGGCCACTGACCCCCCCACTGAGCCCCACCCGCGCCCACACATACCGGGCTAACGTGATTCTGGCCTTCTGTCCGCCACTCAACGACACGCCTCTCTCGCCGACCAAAGTCTTCTCAGCGAATGGGAAGAGTTTGAGGTCTCTCTTCATCGCACAGACGGCTATCACTTCCCGAAACCTCTTGGCGTCGAAGGGCTTTCCGAACGTAATGTTGTCGACAATGGATGAGTTGAAAGACCACGACTCCTGCGCCGCGTACGCGACGCTACCCCTCACTGACGCGTGACCTGCGGTCACCTCAATCTCGTCCAACAGTGACATCAGAAACGAGCTCTAAGTGTGCGAAGAGTTTTTGAGTTGAAAGACCACGACTCCTGCGCCGCGTACGCGACGCTACCCCTCACTGACGCGTGACCTGCGGTCACCTCAATCTCGTCCAACAGTGACATCAGAAACGAGCTCTAAGTGTGCGAAGAGTTTTTTGTGTCAGTAATTGTCAACTCATTAGTGGCCATACTTTGCCGGAGCCGACGGGTCCTATCACTGCCAACAGCTCTCCCGGCGCTAATGAGACGGTAATGCCTTTGAGAGTCGGGTTCTCTAATGTCTGGCAAATGAAGGCGTGATTTAAAACAGTTTTCTTGATTTGCATACACTTTAGTTGCGATGATTACCGGATCCCAAGCGGCGGACATATTCCTAACGCTGACACTGCAGTCCTCGTTGTGGTGATTGTCGAGATGTCCGTCGTTTTGGTGGTCACTAATTAACGGAACTTTGGCATCGATATCGGGGTCTTTGCCGTCGCCTGTCATCTGGTGTGTAATGTATTGTCTGTCGCGGACCTCCTCTAAGAGTAGGTATTTCTGGGGAACAGTTGACGACAACAACACAATTAACAACACATGTGTATTGAAATAGTATGGATGGACTGAAACCTGGATGCGTTTGCACGACACGTACAGCTCTGCGGCCAACGCCACCGACTGTGGGAAAGCGAATGTCATTGTGAAGCGCAGGGCGTTGAAGATGTTCATCGTTACGAACACAGACTCCGCCCCCAAATGGCCAGTTGTGAGCACATGTACGATGAATATGGCGAATATGATGGCTCGCGGACTGATCATCGATATGCTGTTGTTCAGGGCCTTCAATACAGTCGACTTACGGATTTGCGACATCTCTTTGCTATCGCATACCCGGGATAGAGATATCAGTGACCGTATTGTGAGATAATGTTTGGGTGTATGAGTGGTGGTTGTGGTGAGACATGGGGTGTGTGTGAGTTTGGGTGCTTACCGTCGGGCCTCCGATATAAGTGCGTTGAAATGTCTCTCCCAGGCGTACATTTTGATGACTCGCATGCCTTTTATGATTTCATTCATCAAACGTATCCTATTGTCCGAAAGTGCCGAC